CTTGCTTTTTTAAGGACTGATACGTTTGAGACATGGTGGTACCATTTGGTGTCTCTGTTGCAACTTGTTTAATGCGCTCGTGTGCCGGCGGTACGGCACCCAGGTTTCGCTTCCATATAACACGGTGGGGATTATTACTGCTCGATACACTGCAAGTTTCGTTTTTGTGCTCAAGTCATGATTGTAGAAAACCCTGTCTTTTAATTTCCAGAATGCTCTTGAAGCGCTGCTGATTCTGTGCTGAATTTCAGAGTCGATATTTGCCTTTTCCGAAATCAAACTGCCGAGGTAATTAAATTGCGATACATATTCCAATAGTTCTTCTCCGATTTTTATAGCGCTGTTATGATTTTCCGCCGGAGTGCACATGATTTTTGTTTTATCGATGTTCAGTTTAAGGCCCAAAGTCTCGTATGCCCAGGTATATGTGTTCAGCATTTCCTGTAATTGCTGTAACGTATTTGCAGCTAGAGCACAGTCATCAGCGTATTGGAGTTCTGTGATGAATTTTATACGTATTTTTGCCCTGAGTCTTTTTATGTTGAACACACCGCCGTCATACCTGTATCTAACACCCATTCCTCTCTCCTGTAGTTTGCTGTCCACTATAACAGAGAGCGCTTCCATGAATATGTTACCTCTGAGATACCTCTGACCTTCCTAAATACTACCCTTATCAAGATATATGTCTTGAAGTACCACTGACATATCGATTTACTAGAAATTTTAAAAAATTTAAACTAAAATAACTTGAATAATTTTCCGTTTTGCTCGAGAGGTTAAACATTTAGTCAAAAATCTATGCACCGTCCGATAGTACTTGCAGTACTATCTAGCACTGACCAAGTACTACCCAACAACTGGCGAGTTCTTATAATCTAATGTATATTATTACTCCGAAGAGTAAGTAGTTATTCACCAATTATAATTGGTCAAAAATATCTAAACCGCCTAACAATATTTGCAGTGCTGCCTAGTACTGCCCAAAATGTGGTGTATAACTACTGCCTACAGTTGTTGATCTCTCGATTTTGCATGAAAACTAATAAAAAATTCGAAGCTAATTAGTTTTTGATCATATTAATTTTTGATCATACAATCGTATATAGAAGCAGCGAATCTATCTCGATTTTGACATAGTCGAGGAAAGAAAACGTCAAAAGACTGGGTACTTCTGAAGAACACCAGTTAACACGTTTATTTTGTCGCTATACATACAAAAAATATAACTAAAAAAAATAAGGTATCTACATTTCTTCCTCAGGCTCGATATCTTTCATCGGATTTAATTCGGGGATATTATCGCAAGAGTTTCCTTGGCAAAATCCGCATAAATTTGACCAAAAAATGCTAGATTTTTTACAGGTGCAAATTGCTTTGCGCATGAGGTTTTGCAGTTACAAAAAATCATCTTTAAAATAAATTCTGGAGATACTACTTCTTGCTCCATTAAAATGAGATATAGCTCATTATTTGCATCCTTCCATCCCCACACCAATGGATTAGGAGAGTAGCCTAACCATTCTTGTATTTGGTTATAAATTCTAAAGATGTGGAATTTTGCGGCATCTGTGGTGGGAGGAAGAGCAGCCAAATTGAAGTTTGTGCTAAGATTTTGTCTAGCAGTTATATCATTGTATTTTTTAAATTTTAATTCATCTAGTGAAATTATTGAAGTTTCTCCGTAAAGAGATACTAAAAAGCGCTCGCCGGCTTTCAAGGCATCATCAATATCACAATATTCTCGTATCTTACAGAGCTTAACCCGCACACTTTCATAAGATTTACAGACTGATCAGCTGTTTAAATCCTGAATCGACTTGTCTTGATTCTGCGTGGGGGGCGCCTACTATGTTATGCAATGACCGAAAATAGGAAAGCGATTTTAGGGATGGCCGAGATATGCGTTGCCGGTGTCTTTTTGATGGTACCTACATATGTGTAGTACATTTCAGGAAGATTTTCCGAAAATTGAATATTTTGCATGCTTCATTAGAAACACGGCGTGCTAATAAATAAAAATTTGCACGAGACAATATAACTAGTCAAAAATACACCGCTCGATGACACTACTTGCAGTACTGCCTTGTACTACCCAAGTACTACCTAGTACACAAATTCCGGCCCTAATCTGCCTAAGTACTATTCCTGTACAAGTATTGCCTAAGTAGAAACTTCCCAGCTATCCACTGTCTAATCGACTGCTCAGAAATAATATGTAAGCCACCCGACAGTATACTTGCAATACTGCCCAATGTACTGACCAAAAATTTTTACAGCTACTGTCCAAAATTTTTCATCCATCGATATTGTCACCTAGCCCTGTTATAAACAGCAAAATATTTACTTATTTCAAATTATATATTCTGGTTAAAAACGAAAATTCGCCAAAAATTGTTATGTTGGTGCTCCTTCTACGTACCTATCTTGGTAACGGTGCGACCTAGGAACCTCGAAGGTACCTCTTATTATAGAAATTTTATCGGTCTTTCATTTATCTTCTAACATATTTTCTTTAAAAATTAAAAGTTTATGAATAAATGGCAAATTTAGAAAAAAATGCCAAAAATCCAAGATGGCGGCGCCATTTTGACAATGTTCCCCTTATGGCGGGCATGGGGACTTTTAGTATGTTCAACAAGACCCTAAAACTATCAATTAAGACTAATCGCAGCTTTATGTTATTTTGTTCCCAATTCGCCCTATAAGAAACTTCTAAGTGCCCCGCATTATATGATTTAGATCTTAGGTTTCATTACATTACGTCTTGTAATAGTATTACTTTCTATAGATATTATTATTGCGCTATTTTAACAGATGAATAACCAAACATAGATTCTAGAATCTACGGGTTTCAACATCTCAGATTTAACATTCTCAGATTTCATTGAATATATTTAATATTATTTCTAACATAGCTTTTACTCGACATATAACCACTATAATAATTATTAAAATTGTACAATGCTATTTACCATCAGAATACATCATGAATGAATATAGTCACTAGTTTTAAGTAATAAACAACTGTGTTTTCTTTCTCTGTTCATGCCTGGCGCCCAATATTTGTATTTTTGATTTATTATGGTTAGTTAGTTTCTGTCCAGTGAAATACCTTATCCACGACTGCTCTACCAACGAAAAGCTACCGTTCGCAGTCGTAATGTTTAAAAAAAACGCTATAACGTGCTAAATCGCCTATATAAAAAACGGTAAAGGGACAGACCGCATAAGTCAATCATAATAATTAATTGTAATAAAAATTTCACACACATTTGCCATCTAAAACACTGGCCGGCGTCAAGTTAACACTTTAAACATAAACATATTGATAACACCTAGACCTACATCGAATATTCTGTAAACTTTTGTCGAAGCAACGAATAGTTCAGTAACGAGTTTCGAGTCCTCGGTTCGTGCATTTCCAGGGATTATGATTAGTGCCAGCGCAAAAGTAACGAATTAGCTTAGTAACGAGTCCTAAATTCAAATGGTAAGCATTACTTCGAGTCCTCGTAAAGTAACTGTTACTTTGTAACGATCACTTAGCATTTTTACATCACTATTCTCCGCGAAGAGATACATTTTTGCATCCGTTAAAACCAATTCTGGAAGCAGTTATTCCATTGTAGTTGTACCTTTAAATTTGCTTTGTTGAAGGCGCTGGCTGCATCTTCTAGGGACTGGAACTTTTGACCATGCAGTTCTTTCTTAATTTTTAGAAAAGCAAAAACGTCGTTACGGCTTAGGTCGGGACTGTATGGAGGATGGTCCAATAATTAGATATTTTCTTGCTTTAAAAACTCAATTGTTTTTCGGGTGAGTTTTTGGAAACTCAGCAATTATTTTTGGCAAATAAATATATATGTACCAATCAGTAGGAACAGGTCTTTAATCTTGCAGAGGAATTGTTGCTACCTGATCCGCTTTTCAGACAAATATCGCTACCATCTTTTTGGAAACACTTCGCGAACGGATAATAATAATAACGGATTTTGGTTCATCTCGGAACACCCAGACAGCCGATTGACGTTTATTATGGGGTTCATAAAGAATAAATTCAAGATTCATCACCACTGATAATACTGTTTATATTTTTGGGTTTCCTGCGTTAAACCGGTGTAGAGTTTTTGACATCAATTTACTCCAATTACTTTCTTTTCTTCTGTCTACACATGCGGTATCCAACGAGAAACTAATTTTTACAGATAATTCTGCAAGTACATTTTTTAATTAAGGTTTTTGGAATGCCTATGATGCTTCAATGTCAAGATATATGACATGTTGATCTTGGTGGATCAGTTTACGTACACTATCGATTTTTTTTCTGGGTGACTGCCGTTGTGGTAAGACTGGTGAGCCTGTTCTTGGATCGTCGCTAAGGATATTATTATCACGTGGATAAAAAAAATAAATAATAAAGATAAATTCTCCATGCCAATGTGAAAGTGTCGACTGATCTGGTACTTCATTGCAGAAAAGAGAAACCAACTCAGCAAGGCATTTTTGTTGAGACCACTTTCTTAGAAAATTGTAAAAAAAATATTGCGCGGACATATTCTCGGCTTAATTCCATTTTTCTGTGTCATCAACTTAAAATATTCGAAAAGTAGAAAAAAAAAAACTCAAAGCCTCGGTCTCAACGTTTATATAATGTTAAACTGTTACACGTGTTTCGCTCATATACGAGCATCATCAGACAAATACAATTAAAATTAATCCAAATACACGTTCACATTTTACATATTAAAACAACATCGATGAAGTCTTTTTTCTATTTTTTAATTTGAACCAGGTATCTTTGAGAAGAATGGACGCCTTATTTAAATTTTAAAATATTCGGTTTAGGTACAGGTTTAAAAGAAGCGGTCTAAAACTTCGATGTCAGTTAATTTTGACATTTGATATATATGTTGACAGACGCCTATTACGTTTCTATATGCAAAATATAAAAGACAACCCTCGTATATTTCTATTAATTAATTTTAATTGTGATTTAGATACCAGTATGCCGCCACAACGTTTTTCAATCTAGTCTACAACAAAGTATTCAGGACGAGTCTGAAATATCGCCAAAGCGAGCTTATACGAGCATTGGTATTTACAGAGGCAATATCGTTGCTATTAAGTACATTCATAAAAGAACAGTAGACTTAACTAGGTCTATAAGGAAGGAACTAAAACAGGTTATATCCCAAAGTATATCTTTAAATTATATCTGTTGTTTAATTAGTTAGTTTAATTACCCCTGTAAGTTGAGTTTTCGTGCTTAGATATTAAGAGAACTAAATAGTGGTCTTATTACATATTAAATGTTATTCTAACTTAAATAGCAGAAGTGCTCAATTCCCAGTGTATTTTTTTTAGATAAGAGAAATTAGGCATGAAAATTTAATACCGTTTGTTGGTGCAAGTGTAGATCATGGTCAGGTAGCAATATTAACTGCTTATGCTGCAAGAGGAAGTTTAGAAGATGTTTTGGCAAATGAAGATCTTCATTTAGATACCATGTTTGTCTCTTCACTGGTTAGTGATTTACTTAAAGTAAGTTGCATATTCATGCATATATTTTTTTGTAATTACTTATAATTCAGTAAAGGAAGGTTTAACACTACAATTTATATTCTAGCTTCGTTAGTTTTTACTCTATTGTTATATGCCATTATTATATTATTATAACATAAAAAGGAATGGATAGGTATGCTTACCTGTTAGTTTGTTTAGAGGTTCTTGATAGAAAATATCAATCTAAATCTAGGAAATACCCCTTGTGTGTGTCTTCAGTAAAAATAATACTAAATATATAAATTCTTATAATAACCATATACAATGTGATAATATAATCGACGAGGTCGTCCGAAAACTATATATAGTGACAATGGTATAAACTTTGTCGGTATTGACAATGATTTCCCTCGTGTAGACTTTGACAAAATCGCAGAATATAGTGTCGTCGAGCGTATACAATGGCGATTCAATCCACCAACCGCCACGTGGTGGGGTGGTCGTTGTACATACCACATTTTGATAACGCAATTGTTATGTAATAAATGTGAATGTTGGTTCAAACTATAGTTCGTTTAAACTCATATTTTCCAATAAACCGCCGCCTTCCACACAAAGTATCGTAACTAATAATTTGCAAATTTTACAGTAGAGCGAAAAAAACTAAAATGACTGTAATGTTTTCCGATATTACCGAAAAACTGATTAATGTGAATAGACAGATAAGTACGTTGTTCACGTAGACTAATTTTATGTGTAAGTTGTTGAAACAATTTTTCGTTTTCCAGATTTTTGGAAAACATTTGACTTGTCAGTTTGTGTGATTTTTTTTCTGTCGACTTCCTGCATATAGGACAGTTGGCGATATACGCATTAGAGATAATAATGTATTTTAACTAAACAGCATGATTATGAACTAGGAAAATTATAATACATACTACAAAAAATTAATTTTACAAATACAAACTAATTTTCGCAAGGCAAATTATAACAAAAGTTTTAAATTAAGAAAGCCTATAAGTCTCTTTAGCACAGTGAATTAACATCATCAAACTTTTTCTTTGGTAATTTCAGTGGACCAGTGTTTAAATTGCCAACTTTAACAAATGTTAGCTACCTTTATTACAGGGTATAAGATACTTTTAAAATCATGTTTTGATGACTTTGTAAGGATTTTTTCGCCTGGGTAGTTCAAAATAGGGCAAAGTTGGCTGGTAAAAATAGGTAATGTCACAAACTTGTGAAAGGGCATACGTTTTTGCGCCGAATCTCCTTCGTTTTGTCCCAGGTATTTCGCTTTATGACTTACATTAAGGCGTTTTTGCTTTTTTGCTTCAAAATGTTCTTTCTTACCATCTGCCTGTTCATTTTTGAGATAAAGATTTTGTTCCATCCAACTAGAGTACTCTTTTGTCACACAACTAGAGTATTCATAATGCAAGAAAAGCGTAAAAAATGAGTAAGCGTAAAAATTAATCATGAAGCGACTCAGGAGAAATTGAGATTTAAACAAAAAAGTTTACCAAATTTAAATCCAACAATAATAATCTTTGTATAATACGCAACATTTACAATATTCACCTCAATAAGATTTAGAATCTTTCGTGGAATTTATATGAATGATTTTTTTAGGAATTTATCTAAAATCTCTACGTATCGTAGGTGCATATTAAATAAATTAAGGTAAAAATAAAACAGAGCAGCCGGGTAGAATCATATTGTTGTAACTGCTGCGATTTACGTGCTCTAGGCCCGTATTTATAGTTGCATCTCGAGACGCCAAGACGGTCTTGGGCTCTTGAGAGCGGAATCCACAGAATACACGAGCAAACGTCATTTTGGAGATTGCGATTTTCATTTTGGAGATTGTCATTTTGGATAGTTTATGTGATCTGTGGATAGTTTCTTAACCGAACTTTTTTTGTAAACAAAGTAAATCCCTTGTAAATGCCTTGTAAATCCGTTTTGTCTGATTAAACAGTTTTGAATATGTTAGAAGAGTTTGAGGATATTTTGGACCATGTGGAAGAAGAAAATCTTCGAGTTCCAAAAAGATATATACGGAATGCAGGAAATCCAATAGAAATGTTTAGCGAGGGGGGATTTATGCCGATATAGGTTTAACAAGGCTACAATTACAGAAACTATTTTACCTCTTATAAATTGAAGACTTGCAAAAATCTACCAATCGTGGTTTACCCATTCTCTCCGTTATTCAATTACTAATTTGTTTACAGTTTTATGCGACTTGTAATTTTCAGATGGTAAATGGAGACTTGCGTGGTGTTAGCCAACCTACAATAAGCCAGATAATCAAGAATAATGCAATAATGTGGAAGTATTTCAAAATTGCAAAAGTTTTTTTAGTCTAAATATTGTCCCAGGTCCCAAAAGGGAAATTATGGATATTATAGTTGGATATCCAGGGTCAAGTCATGATAGTGTTATATTCGATCCAAGTAATTTAAGAATGCTAATGGAAAGGAGTGATATTCCTGATTTACTTCTTGGAGACAATGCATATAGATGTAGGCCATTTCTATTGACTCCTGTTCTACAGCTAGGTAATCAACAAGAAACCAGGTATAACTTTGCCCATAGAAGAACGCGAAATGTTGAAAGCATAGACTTACAATAAAGTTGAAAGGCTATTTGTGACTTGGAAAAAACGTCTTCCATGTCTCCGAGGTTTACAAAACAACTGTTGCTATTTGTGCAACAGCTATTCTTCATAATATTGATTTAAGGGAAAATTTAGATAATTTTGAAGATGCTAATTTACACATTCCAATTATAAATAAAAAGGAAGAGGGCTAGATTTTTGAAGAAATCTTATTCAACATTTTGCAAATTAATGTATTTATTGTATTAATATATGTATATCTAGTAATTATGTAATATGTTAAGTAATGTTCCAAGGTAACTAGTATATAATAATTTTATTTACTTTTCTATTAGTGGTATAGTATTTATATATTTACATGTAACATAATTGTAAGTAATTCCTTATAGTCTTTTATTAGTTATCTTAAAAATACTGTTTTTCTATACTTAAATAATATATGATTTCTTAGTAGTTTTACGCTCACTATGACCAGACAGCTAAGTGCTTGTTTTAACTGGTCACACAGAATTTTCCCACTAATACATTAAAACTAAAAAAATTGTCTTTATTTTCATCATGAATATTTACATGTCATATCACATAAGATACAATATTGGATGTATACACCGTATACCTATAATTTTCAAGATTTTATTGCTTGGTGTAAATTCTGTATTCTTATTGAGTTGACCATTCTATATAAGTCGATATTCCAGGTTTTATAGTTTTATTTCAAATAATATTTCACAATACACATTCTATGATTATTGCGTTTTTACTGCTTCCTTATTTCTTGTCGTCTAGATGACATTCTTCTCTTTTCTTTTTTTGCTAGTCTGCTAGCCTATAAGTTTTTTTATACTTCCTTTGTTCCATTTCTATATGTTCTTTGACCTCTTCTCTCAATTTTTCAGGTAATCGAGTACTTTTCATTCTCTACTGTCAATAACCTCACTTGTCCATCTTCAAATAAATCTTCAATCCTCGGAATATATCCATATAATAATTCAGGTATTTTTTTCGCCAGTGAATTTATTCACAGATGTATTTATAGCTCTTTCTATATTCTTAATATATGTATCCCATTTGTTGTCATCATCTGCACAAGCCGAAGTCAGTATCATTGGAATAATAATGCTGTTCAACCATTTATGGTTGTATCACACAAATTCACTCAAATGTTCTGCTATTAAAATGGACACCCTCTTGATAATCTGGCTTATTGTAGGTTGGCTAACACCATGCAAGTCTCCACTAACTATCTGAAAATTAGAAGTCGCATAAAACTGTAAACAAATTAATAATTGAATAACGGGGGAATAGGTAAACCACGATTGGAAGGTTTTTGCAAGTCTTCAATTACAAGAGGTAAAATAGTTTCTGTAATTGTAGCCTTGCTAAACCTATATCGGTATTTAAATTCCCCCTCGCTAAACATTTCTATTGGATTTCCTGCATCCCTTATATATCGTTTTGGAACTCGAAGACGATTTTCTTCTTCCACATGGTCCAAAATATCCTCAAACTCATCTAACATATTCAAAACTGTTTAATCAGACAAAACGGATTTACAAGGGGTTTATTTTGTTTACTAAAAAAGTTAGGTTAAGAAACTATCCACAGATCACATAAACTATCCAAAATGAAAATCGTAATCTCCAAAATGACGTTTGCTCGTGTATTCTGTGGATTCCGCTCTCAAGAGCCCAAGACCGTCTTGGCGTCTCGAGATGCAACTATAAATACGGGCCCTAGTCTCTCCCACCGGTTTGCTTACTGCATCATTATAAATAATTCTAATAGTTACTAGTTTTAGTTGAAGAAACAACTCCATAAATTTTTCATGAGTCCCAAATTAAGAACTAAGAACATTAGTTGATGATGCTGTAATAAAGTAAACCCTCGATCTTTTGACTAGTAGACAAATTCCCATAATAACACTGATAGATATAATGCAACCTAAAATAACAACGGTGAAATAACAAAAATTTATGTAATTATTAAGTTTTCAACCTGTGGTACCACCGACAGACTAGCATGTCTTGATAGATGTCGGAATGCATAAACGTATTTGCTTTGCATAAGGTTGCAGCATGGAAGGCAAAAAAAAATCAAAAGTGAGTTCCATAACGGCAAAAATAAAGTTGGAGGTGACATTAACATATTTAGCCACTGGAATATCACTTGTACCGTGTTTCTAAACCATCAATTTCGCTGTTTATACTAGAAGTATGTCGGGCAATTTATGCAGCATTAAAACAATATTTTAAGGTAGGTAAAGTATTTATTGAAACTAACGTAAATTAAGCATTGCTAAAAGCAATTGTGATGATGTCTTCTGTGTTTTCGTCGGGATCATTATATAGTGCAACATCACTGTTATCATCAAAGGAAGAATTTGTAGTGCGAATGGACTAACCTTGTTACGGGATTT